AAATTGAAATGTACTGAACTGCAACATTAACGGTCATTCTTAGTACTGTTTAACTGCATTTTAACAAAAGAATTGGTTTTTTATATGGCTTTCTATTGATAATAAACACGTTTTCATGGCGCGAAGTGAATGGTTATATACTATATTAGGTGTTTTCTCATTTAGAATGTGTTTAAAATGTATTTATTGTTAGAGTAACTTGACATTTTAGAAAAAAATCTATTATTATTATTATTATTATTACTGCTATTCTTCTTCTTATTCTTCTTCTTCTTCTTCGTAGTAGTAGTAGTAGTAGTAGTAGTAGTAGGTAGTAGTGGTAGTAGTAGGTAGTAGTGGTGGTGGTGGTGGTAGTGGTAGTGGGGGTGGTGGGGGTGGTGGTAGTGGTGGTAGTAGCGGTAGCGGTAGCGGCAGCGGTAGCGGCAGCGTCAGCGGCAGCGTCAGCAGCGGTAGTAGCACTAGCAGCAGCAGCAGAGCAGCAGCAGCAGTAGTATAGCAGCAGTAGTAGCAGTAGTAGCAGTAGTAGCAGCAGTAGCAGCAGCAGCAGTAAGCAGAAGTAAGCAGCAGTAAGCAGCAGGAGCAGCAGCAGCAGCAGTAGGTGTCAATGAATGTCTCAAGGATTTCTGTTACATTTCCCAAAACAATGGGTTTATAGAAAGTGCAATTCAAACTTAAAAATGAAAACTCGCGCGGCTGTTTAAAATCTTATTCTCACAGACATAATAATTAAGTCCAAAATGTTTAAGGATAGCTGACAATATTTTCATAAACTGAACTTACTTACGTTATTTCTACAGACAGGCAATATTATTTAATCTACATTCACAATTACCAAAAGCTTTAACATTTAAATCAGTAATTTAGATAAATATATTAATGCAAATATATAATATGTCTAGCGATTTCGAATTATTTTAAATCCACTTCACATTGTATATTATCGCATACCCATGCCGCTTTTGCGCCTCTGTAAAATGGAATGTCGCGGCATATATTTTGACGTGACGTCATATGAGTTGTAAAGACGCGCTAAATGTTAGCGTTACACTATTACGCCCGTTGATGATAACTGCTTTTTCACTTTTAACAGTGTTTCTTTGGGTATGTGATAAATAGAATATTTTATTTTATGCTTTTCAGTGGATTACTGATTTATCCGTGAAAATTATATTTGATAATTTCACAGTGAAAATTATCAAAATATAATTTCACACTTTTCAATGACGAAACTACTTTTTTGAGATTTTCCCCATGTGGTACCTCAATTTTATTTTGGCTGACAATTCTTAATTTTTAATGAGAAATTCCGACCAAATGGGATCTCAGTGGGGAAAACAGATTTTAATATTTACGTTAATATTATGGAAATTTCGTTTTAACTTGTTTTTTAGCATAAAATAAAAAGAAAATTTGTTTGTTTGTTGTGTAAGATGTAATTTTATTTCATCTCGTGAACTTTAAAAACAGTATTCTCACTCGTGGCTACGCCACTCGTGAGAATACTGTTTTTAAAGCCCACTCGATGAAATAAAATTTCATCTTACACACAAACAAACAAATATCCTCTATATATTCGTGTAGGTTCATTACTGAATTTGTTGAACTCGTTGAATAAAATTATATTATTCTCGCCAGAGGCTCACATGGTATAATTACTTTCAACTCGTTCAATAAATTTGGTAATGAATACCCTTATTCAATATCCTGTTTATGTATATTTGAAAAAGAAAATATTCCGGAAATAGTTTTATAACAATCTGTTGTTTTTTTCACAAGTTATTTGAATGCGTTTTACTACGGCAAACAATATTCTATAATTCTAGAAAACTTTTTGAGGATTTCAGAACAAGTTGTTAGGTCGTACCCGATCCTATATCAATTTAAATGTTCCCCACACGCTACAACTTAAAATAGGATTTTTTCAGGAAATGCATGCTGTTAGTAAATTGTCAAGAGATGTTCTTTTACTCTCATATATTACAAAAATTTGTTTATATTGCACTAGAGGTATAAAGTATTTTTGAATATATTAAGTTAAACATGTATTTCATGAGTAATTTCAAATTTGTTTGAAAGTTACGCTGTGTATTATTAATTCGTTTGTTTGTTTGTTGTTTTTTCATAAATATCCAGAAAAAGATGCTTAAAGTTGAATATTTCTAAACAATTAGAAAGATTATCTGTTTTTTCTCTCGCAAGATATTGCTGAAAAAAGTCATTATAATGAATTATAAACGTTTCCTGCTTACTATTATTTGTTTGTTTTCAATGTCAAATAAATGTTTGAATTGATGGTATTCTTTCTTAACATTAACGAAATGAATCATCAATCCCTCAGATTCGGTTATGGTTATGTTCACGGGAACAATTTAATAGATATCGTCTATTACGAAGGAAGTCTCCTTTCTGTGAATATCATTGTCAAGTCGAATGCTGTTATTTCAAGTCAATAAAGGTCATTTATGTAGCATAATAATTATTTACTTTCTACATGTAGGCATGTAGGTCCGACATTATACCAGTGATAAAATGAGACTTCCATTACTGATACTGATATTAAAAAAGGGTTAGACTTATCAATTAGAAGATTTTGAAATTATTGTTTTATAGACACTCTGCGTGTAAGAACACTAAAATCTGCAAAACAATTCACAGTGTTACAGTCAAAATCTCACACGTCCGTTTTCACACACCATGAATATTTATTGCATTTCATAATTAACAAAACATATGTTCCTCACAGCAACCAAATAGTGATTCAGTCATGTCCAACGTTTAAGTTTCATGGTAGATAGTTATAGGTTTCCTTTGTTTTGTTGCAATAATTGGTGACAAAAATAGTGAAGTTTGTCTAAATGGCAAGTAAAATTATGTCATTTTAATAAATTTTAATATTATGAGTTTCCAATTCTTTTTTTTTTTACATTTCCCCAAGCATATTACACCAGAGCACTAACTATGTTCTTGAAAGAAAGTGGCTAATGTATGCCGATGTTCACTAGCATTAGCTATAATTTAGAACTCAGTTATATCCGCCCATGTAATAATACACGTTTGACCATCAATGTAACAAGACGAAATCTATAAAATAGGTCTGTGATTGGTCAGTCGGTCGTAAGTAACGGATGTTGAAAAAACCCTGTTACCCACATTGAATATTTTTTCTTTTTCATGAAATTGAATTCCATTACAGCTTGTATTCTTAGAAAACTGAAACTATTGTGTAATGTGGTTTAGAGACTTGTCCCATAAATACTTAGTAGTTTGTTGCTTATTGTCCTGTCGTCCAGATAGTTCAACAGACCAGTGGTTTTTTTTTTTTGATAAACTGTCCTTTTGTCAGTCATTCTGGATCAGTTAAGGTTACGATCTAAAAAAAATGAAAGCAAAAATAATAATAGGAGCTATTCAGACTGGACATGTTTCTGGTCAATGCAGGTTTAAATGGAAAACACAATAAAATATATTTTTGTGGAATGGTTATTTATTTCTGTTAAATTGTTTCCATTTACACTAACAGTCATTATAACAATTCAAAACCTTGCCATACTTGTAAAGTGATGACCATATTTATATATCAAAGTTTTTATTAAAACAGTATACTATTCCTAACCATATCCGTGTATTTCCGTAATTAGACCTTCTGTGAACAAATATTTTGAAACTTTGTTCCGGTAAAAATGTTTGTTTCAAAATGATTTCATTATTTGCATTATTTACATTTCAATCATTTTACCAGAAAGTTATAAAGCAATGAAACAAATATTTACACTAGCTTTGAATAATAGCAAGTCATGCTTTGATAAATGAACGATGTTGCCTTGTATACGGACGGTGTGAGAATAATATTAAATGGTGTATCCGATCAATGTTCAAATATCTCGAAAGGAAGCAAAATTGCTTTAATGGCTTTATTGATAAGAAATCTGCAGGTATCTTGTATTGAGACAGGAGTTAATTGTGGCAAATGATAAGGAACAAAACAAATTAAATAGTCCCTGGTGAGTTTGGTACTTTTTTAATGTAGCAACTATTTCAGGATATGAGATCTTTAATAATTTGAATTGTTATTATTATTGTTTGCTGAGTAAAATGTGGACTACAACTTTGCAGAAATAATTATTCTTCAATGTGACATTAACAAATATTATTGCCATTATTTTTTTTAAATAAAGTTAATTTATAAAGATGTTCTGTGTATAGAGTGATATTTCAGTAGTTTTATGTAATTTGTTCGTTTGCTCGTTTTTTTGTTTGTTTGTTTGTTGTTTTGTGGGTTTTTTTGGTGTTTTTTTTTTGTATTTTATAATTATTATTATTTTTATAATTATAATTATTTCCATATGTTTTTTTTCTTGATTTGAGTGATATTTCAAAATTAGAAATTTACTTCAGGAAAGACTGAAACATATGTTTTAGTTTATACAGAATTTATTTCAGGAAGCTATATGCTTACACAAACACCTTCGATTTCGTTCCTTGAACTAACCAGTATTGGGTAATGAATGAAACTTTCAATTTCATTAAAATGTTGTCTTGAGGTTCAGCTCGTATATTTGAATACTGAACGGGGTCTTCTCAAATAAAGTTATGACTGTCAATATATTGTTTACTTTGTCAGTATGTACAGTGGAATGTAATAATAAGAGGCAGGAAGTGCCTTCAAACATTGTTCAAGCAAGCAAACTGATTGCATGCCTGTTACAATGGCAACCAAGGCATAACCATTTATAAAGCCCGCTCTAATTCTGTCCAGGTATGCAGGTTTGATGTTTCTTGGAATTACTGAGTATTTCCATTCATTAATGGAATATTTATGATACATTCGGTTATACATTTAAGCTTCCTAGCTTCTGATTGCTATATATGATTTCATTTTATAGAAAGCTACATATAGATTGCAAATCATGTCTAAAAAGAACATTAAATGATTGATCTGTTCAGTAAGTCCAAAACCAGACAACCACAATTTTAGGCCAAAACAAAACTACAATTATAAATCGTTTATATTATCTTTATTCACAATTGATTAAAACATGTTTTGATTATCCTGTCAGTGTATACATATATTCATATTTGATCATATATTCACATATTTATATATCAGGTCAAACAATGCATTCATACTGTAGTAAATCAAACACTCTCTTAATCAATCATAGCAATGCTATTAATCAATGAGTGTACAGAAATTTACATTTATAAAAATGATACATTACAATAAATATATCTCCGTCAAAACATTAAAATAAAATTGGTTATTACTAACCACTCTGTACAATATTGAATTATATGTAGACTAGATTGAGTTTTGATATATATTCAGTATTTTTCTTGACAATAACATATAACAGTTATACAGAATTATGTATTAAGATAATACAGTATGATCATGTTGAATTTTGTCTATGTTCTTACCTACAACCATACATTCATATGATCTTGTGCGATTCAGATAAATGGTGATAAGGTAACACTTAGTAAAGAATAATAAAATTTAAATCAAAAAATAAACAAATAACACACTTAAATAATATTTCTATAAATCAAAATTCATATCAAATTACATGTATCTACGTAAAAAGTATCAAACGTCTCTGATACCAAATTGAATACAAAATACCAACATAATTATTGAAAATATATACAACCTGTTTACATACAGACATTCAATTATTCTTTCAAATGCTTATATTATTTCTCTAATAATATATGCAAAAGTTTTTAGTATATAGCATAATTTATGCCAAAACAGAAAGATGAAATGGTCATAAAGCTGTGTATGTGACTAGCAAGGGAGAAAAGCATTCTTTTTCATTGATCTAGACTCATCGTTCTAACAAATAATTGAATAATGTGATGCCTCATATTTTATTTCCATAAACAGATGTTGTTGTTTGGTTTTTTCTTCTGCAGATAAATATATTTAATTGACAGGCTGAGTTCAAATATATTAACACCATGATCAGCTATAAAAACATTACTTTTAAGACATGTGAATATAATTTAAAGAAATACTATGCTCCCCCTTCCGTAAAATACTTTTACTGTCCCAATTTATTGAACTCTATGAAATTCTTACGGATTTCTTTTAACTAGAATAAAATAATGCGCAATCCATGTTTTGTAAGCTGCATTCTTTATAATTGGTGGAATTAAATTGGTCCTTTCTTTTAAAAAGATATGGCAGTTCTTTAAAAACAGTATGTTACAAATTTGAACAATTAGTTCCACTTTCTATAAATTCATAATAATCAAGATCGTGATATCATAGTACATACACTCACTTCTTCCAACAAACAACTATTATTCCATCTATCACAACAATTTTATCAGAAAAAAATGAATATATTTATTATCACAAAAATTGTCAATTATTAAGTTATAAATACACATTATAAAATCCTTCAAACAAATATCATTTGAAAGAAATTAATCTATGTGTGTTTCTATCAACAAGACATTGCAGTATGGTGATCAAATAAATCAATTTGAAGCACTTGACGAAGATAACATGTGGTGTGTAAATATTCAACTTTTCCATTTTTTTACAAATTTCAACTTTTTACACAGCATCTCCTTTTTTTCATTTCTATCAATGTCAATGGATCAGAATGATATAATTTGATTATTGCAACTAAATGGAATGTCAACTCGTTTCGTGTAGCTAATGTAGCTACATGCATGTCAAGAGGGAAATAATTCACGTAAAATGAAAATAGTCACAAAAACGACTGTTTGTACTCGTAATAACGTTGTCGTCTGCTTTATAATGGAAGAGTCACTTGATGATTTGTATCCCTCTCCTACTCCAATAATTCCTGAAGAGTACAATAAATAAATGTTAAACAAGTACATGTATTAACAACAAAACATTATGTTAATAATTTATAAAGTAGCATTTTACAATACATTTTCAAAACAAAAAACAATCTTTATGTATAAAACAAAGGTATTTTCAACCAACATTTTGTATTATTCAAGCTACATATACCATGACTGGCGATTTATATCATCCATCGTATTTCTAACCAACTCCTTACAGTATACTAGTATTTCCAAATATTTGTACATGCCTTACTTACATGCCTTTTAGATTACTTTAATCACCGTAGGGAACGTGTTACAGTATCGCGTTTTTCGGTTACAGTATAGAATTTTAAAGATGGAGGATTATTTGTTGGGAGGACAGGTAGGTGATTTTTATTCCGGTCCGTACTACAAGTAGTTTAGTTTCTAAAAGATGTTTTTGTGCTTTGCTTGTAAGGAACAGAATCCAGTATCTAGTCATATATTTCTTCAAACTCTGCACCGCAGATTTATCGTTATATTGTCTCATAAATATGCAGATTTGACAGTTTGAAAATTTGAATCGAGAGACCAACGCATTTTTCTCCAATTTCGACATTATTTATGCATGCCTAGAAAAAGTAAATCTGCAAAACGTTAGTCCTTTATGTTAGGAAACGTTTATAAAAGTAAATGACCAGTTGAACCTATTTTCCTGTTCGTTAAATGCGTTTTGAAAAAATAAACAATGTTACAGTATAGAGCGAGGTGATTTGTGCAAGGTTACAGCATAGACCTAGCGACTGTTATCCGATTTTGTTACAGTTTATACTCAGATTTCGGTTACAGTTTAGACTTCGATATTTTCTATATATACTAGGTAAAATGTACGGATGTTACATAGACTCTCTGTGAGCTTATTGGCCCGATGGCTATTCGTCCGTCTGTCTGTGTGTTCAATCTCATCCGCTCAGTAACTACTTGACTTAATGTGATGAAATTTACATGACTTTCTACCTATTAGTTGTTCAAATGGTTTCGGTTGCAATCGGGATACAGATTTTAAAAAAAGGCAATGTTTAAAGACCCTTCTCGTCTCGAACCAAAAGCATTCAAATCAAATCATGATCATAGCGTCATTTCGAATGCTTCTTTGTTGAATTTACGATTATTTTGTCATTATTAAATTAAAACTCGTTTTTTCTTATTTCAGACATTCTGTATAGCAGTTTTTCATGAAATAATATTGAAAAATATAGAGTATTAATTAAGGTAAGACAATTACAATGTCTTCTCTAGTGAGCCTGATGGAGGTACATAATAGTGACAGAGTTGGGATAAGGCCTTCGACTTCAAATTATCTTTCATTTACTGCTGTAGTTGAAATCCAATCATGACTTTGGATTCTTTGTATGTGAGGAATCTATCAAGCTAATTTACGGAAGGTCGGTGGTTCTAGTCAGGTGCCCGCTCGTTTCTGAAATGTTTCACAAAGGGTATCTGGGGTCTTTCTTTACACTAAAGCAGGAATGTTTTCACATGACCTCAGTGTCGTTGAAACTTAAAATCCAAGAAAGCCAAACGTAACAAACCCTTTTTAAATACTTACAAAATTCATTATTGTAGATGGAAATTCCAACTTAAAATAAAATTTATGGTTGAAATATTGCTCACTTCAATACTGTTTAATCATTATTAGGGTATTGCCTGCTTGTTAATTGTGTCTTTTGACAGCTTATCTATGGTATGCAGGCTTCATAACCTCCGATTTCATTTTATTTAGTTTCACTCATTGTATTCTCGTTTAGGACACACGAAATTTTTAACCTGGGGGTAATATGCCGCTTTTTCATAGAATGGCAATAACGTGTCACATTGAAAGGTTCCATGATAACCGTCATATGAACACATCCACAGATGTTAAAAAATCTAAAGTGTACCAGTTCATGTTTAATGTGAATTCTGCTGAAGCCGGTGCTATAGGAGGCGTGGACGGTAGCTTGCAGTTACCACTACCGTCCATGAACAAGTTTAATCAAACTGATCCTGCAACATTTTCATGTTTTCCGTGTTGGACTTCTGTTAAGGATTCTTTTTTCTCTATTTTATTACTAATAGGCATTATGTAATGTGTAATGGAAATCAAGCAATTGATATTCATTCTTCTCTCAATACAATTCGATAAAAGTTACTGTTGTTGTCGTGAAAACAGTCCCTTACTTAGGACATTACTTATTCTGCAAAAAAGTCTCAATCTGAAACTTAAAGTAAGAAAAATAGCAAACTATAACTTTTTCTGCTGAAGAAAAAAAGTAATACAACCTTTCAAGAATGTATTAAATAGAAAGGTATGAGTTATTTCATAAAAATAATGGATACACGAACTTTGTTTGAAATTTGGCAAGTATCTAAAATGTAACCGAAATCTGGGTATAAACTGTAACAAAATTGGATCGAAGTCGCTAGGTCTATGCTGTAACCCTTTCAAAATTAACCTCGCTCTATACTGTAACATTGTTTATTTTTTCAAACTCATTTTACCAACAGGAAAATAGGTTCAACTGGTCATTTACTTTTATAACGTTTCTAAACACAAAGGACTAACGTTTTGTAGATTTACTTTTTCTAGGCATGCTTAAATAATGTCGGAATGAGGAAAAAATGCGTTGGTCTCTCGATTCAAATTTTTAAACCTTCAAATCTGCACATTTATGAGACAATATAGAGATAAATCTGCGGTGCAGGGTCTGAAGAAATATATGATTAGATACCGGATTCTGTTCCTTACAAGCAAAGCACATACACATCTTTTAGAAACTAAACTACTAGTAGTATGGACCTGAATAAAAATCACCTACATCTCTTCCCATAAATAATCCTCCATCTTGAAAATTCTATACTGTAACCGAAAAACGCGATACTGTAACACGTTCCCTACGGTGTTAATTGTACATGCCTTCTTAAATGCCTTTCATGTCACTTAAACTGTACGCTTAAACATTACTTTTACATTAACTATTTGAAATATGATATGTTGTTGTTTTCTTTTCTTTATTTTTTTTTGTTGTTGTTGTTTTTAGGGGGGTGTTTTTGGGTGTTGTTGTTGTTGTTGTTGTTGTTTTCATAACAATCGGAAAGCGTGATACCTGAAACAATTACTCAAAAAGACAGGTCATTTTTTTTGTTTGAACGCTGATTACATTCCTGTAAGGTGTAAATGTTCATTGTTATTTGTTGGAAAAATGCTGTTCAAAAATTTAATTAATTTACCTGCTTTATGCGGGTTACCTGTCTGTATTTTACCAATAATAAAATTACCGTCAGAGTCTGGTATATTATCGTTATCTCGATGACCTACACCTACAACTAGTGGCGGTTGACGTGATGGTTGAAAAGGGTCACGTGGTATTGTGGTAGGTGGTGGAGTAGGCTCGAAATATTCTGAAATAGATGGAAAGATTTGTTGCTTTAACAAAAATATATGAAAAAATCTGTGATCTTCACGAGCACTAGATATTCTGTTTACTTTATTTAATATGAGTTAAGTTACCGAAAAACAATTATGAATTATTTTGTGGATAACAATGAAAAGGGTTATCATTAATATTTTCGCCGCATTCTTTTCCGAAGTGAAAATATAAGTGCAAATCATTTTGTAGAGTTTTTAATATATAGCGTAAAATCTTTGGGATTTTAAGACTTCAATTAAATGTTACAAAGGTGTCTTGAAAAGCAACGCATGGTAACATTTAATATATATTTTTATCTGTAACGCGCTAGAAGTAAGGCAATATTTTTCTCACCAGATAATAAAATAGTATCACTGTCTGTTCCTAAAGCATTAGAGGCCTCACAAGTGTACAATCCAAAGTCATGTTCCTCTAAATTGATTATACTTAGATATATAGCATATGTGAAATGGTCCTCCTTATACACGTATGTTGTATATTTTCTATTGTCATTTGCCATTTCTCCTACAGGTTTGCCATTTTTACTCCATGACCCCACACCATGTGGAAATGCAGCAATTAAACATTCAAGCATGCCTTCCTTGCCTATTGGTTGGCTGATTTTCTTAGTTTTAAACGTCACTTCCGGTGGAACTGAAATTTGATGATAATAATCGATGTATAGATGTTTTGTCAATGATAAATAAAAAGACTGAATGTACGTAATTAAATATTACAATATTGCTGATTTCTTCTGTTATTTCAACTGACAAGACGGCAAAAAAACTGCACAGGTTGTCACTTAGACCTTCAACAAGCATACGAAAGGTTCATGGCACATGCATTTTATGGTTGGTTTCATTTAATAACAATTAAATTTTTGATCATAGAGGACAATGCCTGCATGTGCTGCTTAAATTATACAAATAATTTCTCATCGCAATTTTTTTCTTAGAACAGAAAAAGTAATGGTTATAAGTTTCAGCTTCTTGTTGTTTTCAATATATAGACCGGCAAAAATAATACAATGTGTTTTATCTCTATTAAATATTTAGTTACAGAAGAAATAAATGATACACTGTCATATAAACATACATTCCACCTCTACATTCATCACACGATGCACGGGTTGAGCGATATTGTTACTGGCCTGACACTCGTATTGTCCTCCACAATATCGAGATATATTATGAATAATTAGAATCTCTCCCGTATGGCCAACATCTGAAAATACACAAAGATCCCTGTGGAAATTTACCTTCTTCTACTGAAAATGTTTCAATATATTTTTTCAAAACAATTATTCTATTTATATGTTGTTTTTTATCTTTGGATTTATATTCTTATGTTGTGGTGACAAGAGGTTACTAATCAGAAAATCCAAACTTATAACAGTTGACATCAAATAACTTTCCATAGATTTCTATTTCAATAAAAACTAGACGTATCTTTGTTAAAAATGTTTTAAGAATTTAATATCAACAAAGGTCAACTGTCTAAATGCAGAGCTATAACGTGTACATTTATGTCCCAAGTACGTCATTAACATTTGCGATAAATGAATATTTAAGGGGTGAATTTTCACATACCATAAAACTCAATATAGTTACAATAATTCTAAATGTTCATTTATCAATAGATGTAAAAAGTGTTATTAAACATAAGTTTTATTCATTTATTATGAATATTTCAAATATAATCAATCTAAAAAATGAGACTTATTATCATACACGAACACACAATAAGAGAGTTTCTTTCATCAAGTTTAGTATTCCAATTATTAAACCTGTCAAAGACATTTTGATTATGTCATCAATGTCATTTCATGTCCCCCAATGCCAGATCAAGGTTTGGTTATAAATTTCCAATACTTGTCTGACCTCTCACAGTGTCAGCAGTTAATCAAACGACCCGGAAAGACATCAATTGAGACATCCCGTCCGGCTTCACAAGAAACTTGACGTTTATTGAAAAACATATTACCAGCAATATAACTGTCCGTTTTTTTATTTGATATTTTGAATTATTTCCACTTTTGATTTCGTTTTTGCTTTGCGGAAGAGATTTGTCAGTATTGGTTTCACATTTTACAATGAGCGAGTACAAGTAAGTATAATTATAGTTTAAAACTTAAACGAAAAGCATTTCTATTTATCTATTTATTCAGTTTTTGTTATATCTATACTAACGTTCAATATAATAACCAACATACTAAAATTGTATTCAAGAGAGTGATTGTATGATCTATTATCTACAACTCAAGTTTGGCGTTGCTTCTTTTTTTTCTTTTTAGTAAAAATGTTATACCTATATATTAGTACAATTAACCATTTAAAGTTAACAAAAGAGTAAGCAAATTTAGCTTATAAATATTTACGTTCTTTCTCTTGGTTTGTTTGTAAAGTGTTCCTGTACCAACTGATTGAAGGTTCCGGTATCCCTGTAGCAACACACTGTAGCTTAACTGTCTGTCCCTCCCGGACTGTTGTGTCGACGCTCGAACTTGTATTGTCTATTTCTGCAGGCACTGTTGAATATAATTAAATATCGTAAATTAGTATCAGAAAATAATCGTATATAAAAACTTTGTGTAAAGGCACTCTTAGCATGACCATAATATAACATACGTATTTATTGTTCGACCCTAAACATAAGAAATAATTCCCAGGACCTTCGGTGTTCAATTAACAATGGTTTAGTGAATAACCAATTTTCGGATTAATAAATCTTATTATCCACTTTGGTTAGGTTTGACGGTATTATCTCAACTGTGTCAAAATGGCTGGATATCCACTGGATAGCTTGTGCCGCTGTTAACGCATCTATTTTAGGATTTGAACATACACGAGTGTCCTTGGTGTAAAGGTTATATATTTATAACTAATGTACGTAGTCTATAGAGTGAATACGATTAAGTCCTGCCATCTACACCAGTGAAAACTATATTTATATCATCAGTAATCGTACAACATCGAGTATTTCGACGGGAATCAAATTGCCAAACCCTTTCCTATATCAATTTACATGTGAGAAACTTTCATGTGCATTCTATTTAGTTCAGTTCCTCTTATAATCTGATATCTTCAATGACTGTAAGTTTTCAGAATATGATCAACTGTTGTATTTCAGTAATTTACAGAAAAGCATGCAATACAAACTAGTTTACTAGCCGTGTATTTCCACAAAGCTGCATACGGTTGTTTTAATATGAGCAATAGTTATTCTACACTGTTCTGTACAAATTGACTTAACGGTTCCTTTGAGGTTCATATCTCTACAAAAAATTACGACTTGACTAATTTAATAACAACCAGACAAATGTGTCCTTCCATATCTATTCCTATATTGATAATAATACCATAAAACATTATTTTTATATTTAACAGGTGGTGTTTATTAAAGAGATATAAGTAATTTGTAACCTTGAACTTTTAGTAGAATTCGCTTTATTTGTATTGGATCTGTATTTATTTGACACGTGTATTCGCCATCATCGTGTACTTGAACATGCCGAATGTGTAGATTCCAGTCGCGGACGAACGGACGTTCAATACTCATCCTCGTGTCGTCAATCACTCGGCGATCATCTGAACTTAACAACGTCCTCCGAGGGTTCATCCAGACAATCTAAATATAGAATTGTATATAAATGTTTATAGACAATGTTGTCTGTTATGTGCAGACTAAAGGGAACAGGTCAGAATAAGAATAAGAAGTTTTCTCTCTGTTTAGGAAGATACGAGCATTTTTGTCATGAATTTTCATGTAACTTTATGAGAAACGTTGTGTCACAAAACTATGATTTAACATCCATTTAATTAACCTTTTCCCAATTATGAACGATATTTGTTTTCCTTTTTCTTTATAGAATATATTCAAGTTACATTCAAACCAACACATACACACTTGAAAAATAACATACTAGTAATTTAAAAGAAGTAATTACAATAAATAAAGCTACACTTTTTGTTTATAAATAAAAAATTTATATTCAATCGTACGGCAAACGTTTTTGACATATGGGTAGCAAATAGATGATTTATATAATTTAATCAAATTTAATATATAAACCCGACATAAAACATCGTATCAATAATATTTCGATTATATTAGTATAATCATTAATTTTTCTACTGGGAAATGATTTTTGAAAGAAAATTGAACTTACCAGATAATCATTCTTGTTAATTACTGTACACGGTAAGACCGCTGGTTGTCCTTTAATGGCTGTTACATTAATTGGTTTACTGTCAAATTCCGGTGGTTGACCCCCGATCATAACTGGCCAAATTGCTAAAAATAGAAAAGACATAACAAATACACTCTATTTTGTAGTTTAAATAGCGGTATGCAATTCTGATACCATGACTTATACGAGTATGACTGGAAGCCACACTACCATCTAACATCAAACATTAAAAAAATCAAATTACGGCATAAATGGAAATGGAAAACTAAACAAACATTCATTTAATGATTTTATTATAATTTGAATACGGTTGATTTTAACAAATATGTTTTAGTTCATGACAAATGAACTCCATCCATTTTAAAAAGGGATTATCCACAGATTCCCAATTAAAAATGCCATTTTCAGCTATTTTAGTGGATATTTTAAGATGTATTTTAAGGGAAAAACAACAAAAAGTACATCTGAAAATATATTTAACACAAAATTTATTTCATTTTGTTATAAAAATACAGCATATTATCACAAATAAATCATGATTTGTTCCGCCAGCAGAACATTTAGCAGTTCTTTCTGCGAGATAGCAAGAATCCAAAAAATGCTAAAATGTTCTGCCGGCGGAACATTAAATAAAACATATATTTAGTTATTTTACAAAATAGTTCAGTCTTAAATTGTTCCGCCAGCGGAACATAAGTATGAAAACATGTATCAAAACATACTAGGTTATAACCATAAGTGATTCTGTTCTGCCGGCGGAACATTTATTAATTACAACATATCACAATTCTGAACAACCTTTGCAAGATTTTGTAACAAATGCATTTCTTAAAGTAAAAATCAAATAAAAGAACTCATTGGAATTGTTCCGCCAGCAGAACAGATATATGATTCCAGTCCATATGAATGCAAAAATAAGATAGAATCATAAAAATTCCCTGTTCCGCCGCCGGAACATTTACTTATAACAACATATCAAAATTCTTAACAACCTTTAAAGGTTTAATCAAAAATATAACTCAGAAAGAATATCATTTAATAAAATTGATTTGAAATTGTTCTGCCGGCGAAATT